TGGGAAGGCCCAAAGGTCAGTGTGGAAGCTAGAAAGTCTATGCCAGTGGGGCAAAGGAGCTGTGCTGGTAGGTTGAAGGTTCTACACTGGAGCCGAGAAGTCACGCTCACAATAAAAACTAGGGTTGTACTAAAAAGCACCATAGCCATCCTCCGACACGGAGGTCTTGAGCTCCTCTGATGATAAGAACAGTCGAGTACATGCCAGGAAGCCAGCATGATGAGTTCGTCATGGAGATGAAATGGCCCATGTCTTCCCCTCCAGAGCCAGGAAGCGATGCTCAATGTAAGGACCAAGGTTCCTCTAAAGTGAACCACAGCCACTCTCACCAACAAGGTCCCGAGCTCCTGTGATGACAATGGTCAAACTCACATTGGGGAAGCTAGTCATGACAAGCTCCTCCAGGAGAACCAACGGCTCAAACAGCAACATTTAGAGAAATCCACACTGCCTAGCTTTTCCTTCTCCATGTCCCTATTTATGCTGGCAACTTTCCTCAGGTGGAACATCTACGTTCAGCACCATGATGATTTAATCCAGCTGGCATTAAGTTGACCACCAGGTTTTAATCCATAACAAGATGTATTTTATTTCCAGTGTTCAAGTTCTTGACAAATGCTGTCTAGTTTAATAACATCAACAAAATGGAGGTTTGAAAGAATAGAAAACTGTGTTCTAATACCTTAACTTGTTTTGCTTTGGTTGGACTATAAAATATTTCACCCTGACATAAAGAATAAAATGACTCCTGTATGTTTAGGCTATGGTTTGTTATGAATGCTGAAAGACTAATTTTAGAAAGCTAAGCTTAGAGGCTAAAATTGTCTGAAATAATGTTAATTTAACTCACATTTATCTCTCATAATTGCCGGGCGATAAAAATAATGAGATTATCATTGCAGAATCAAGTGTTTCATGGGCTCGTAGCATGCTCCATGGAAATCCTAACCTGTTCAAATCTTTTAGATATCCTTAAGAATGCACTCTGGTGAAACGTGATGATTTGTTTCAATTTTTTTCTTGCTGTTTCTGTCTGTTGTGATCAGTCCTGCCAAGGAGGCCCTGTGGAGTGGTCTGCCTGCCTGAGGAGCTTTCCTTGCTTGAAGAGCCTCTCTTGGCCTCCTCATCAGGTGTTGGTCCAGCTCTCTCTTTTCTCAGTCTACAGCATCCATACTTTGACATGTAAACTGAGCTATATTCTTACAGAAACGATAGAGTGGTGCTGTCTAGTCACGCTTTTGTTCTTAATGAGTTTTTAATAAATAGCTCTTTCGGGTTTACCCTGTTTTATTGCCACTCCTTTCTCTAGATAGATACATGGACTTGTACTGAAGAACATGTGATGGCAGAAACTACTTTGTCCTCAGAAACACCACTGCCACCTAGTCTACCATAGTTTTATTTTGGTACTGGAGATCGAACTCATGACCTTGCACTTGCCAGGCAGGTGTTTATGCCCCTGAGCTAAATCCCTGGCCCATCTACCATCTTTTTACTCAATCTCAGGACTTACGTCTACTTTCTTTAGGACAAGCATGTTTCAAAGAACATTATCATCTGTCTTTTAAATAGTCCCTGTAAGACTGTTTTAATTAGGCTTGCAGGTTACACATGTTAAGTCTGAGGTTCAACATTATTTAGAGTCAAATTGGGATTCATACATACTAATATCAACTATATGAAAAGCAAGAATAATTGCATTTTGTATATTCTTCTTTGATCATTTTCTGAGATTTTAATGAGGTTTCCCCTTAAACCTTGTGTAAGGGAGAAAAAGTATTTTTTTTCTCACTCTCTGTTAGGTTCATGACTGAGGCCTCTGTAACAAACCAAACACTGACAAGAGAAAAACATACACATTTATTTAAGTTTTATGTAACATGGCAGCTTTCAGAAATGACTCAAGGAAACAGGGAAATTTGTACCGTTTTATGTATAAAATTTCTATGAACAGAAAACTTTGTACAGGAGGATGACATAGGTAAGACTGCATGGTAACACACGGAGAGGGGATTTGGCAAGGCATGCTTGTTCAGATCTTTCTCTGTGTCCCTGTATCTGCAGAGATAGAGATATAATTTGAAATGAATAAAAAAAAAGTTGCCCTTTAAAAAATTAAATGGTTCTGTTAATTTTATATGCAAAGGAGAAAGAAAAATGATGTTGGGCTTGTGAGACCATAATCTGCTTTAGGATCTTACCGTACATAAGGAAAGAGCAGCGAGGATGTCAATCAAAAGACAGTTTGGGCAACGATGGAAGCCTAGAAAAGTGAAAACTAAAGAATCAAATAATGGCAGAGCCTGCCAATAACGCTTGAAAGAGAAATGCTTTTTGTCAAAAGACTTCAGTTATTCCCACCCTATTAGCAAGAACAATCTTAGTGAGGAGAGGTTACAGGATGTCTTTTTGCACAGGCTATTGGATCCCATTAGCAGCACTATAGTGTTTGTGAGAATGATGAATGAGATTATCACATCTAATGCCATAAAATATTCACTTCAAGTACTTTCTCTTTTTCAGATTTGTGTACTTTGAAACTGTGAATCCTGTTACTGCTGTTAATGCTTCTAAATGCTTAATGTGTGATAGGCATTCATAGACATTATTTGATTTAATCCTTAGGTCACTTCTGTGAGGTGAGGACCACTGTTTGAACTATTTGGTTGAAGAAACTAAGGTTCAAAATTGAGGGTCAAGATTTGCCTCATTAGATTTAATCTTCTTTATTTATAACTTGATTTCAATATGTGCCTATCTGTTGACAAATAAGGATAGACCAATGGGACATTAATTTATCTCATAAAACAACGAAATTCTCCTTTGAGGACCAAGCATTATCAAACACTACATATTTATATGAACCAAATAATTGCCTGCATTCCAAAATAATAAGATTTTATTTCTTGTTAATGAAATTGGATTGTTTAAGGCACAAATTTTGCTTTCTTCTTGGATTTTTTTATTGTTTTAATAATGGTAGAAAAGTATATAGAGTATAAAACTCAAAAGCTGACTTATGGAAAATGGGGGACTGTAGCTAGGGTTGATTGTTTTCACCTGCTAAAGTCTACATTTTTCCCTCTTTCCTGGCTTATGGGTCCTTTCTTCATACACTTCATGATTATTTTGCTTTGAATTCCTATACAAGGTTAAAATTGATTTTTTTCAGAATTTCCAATAACAACTTATCCTATATAATGCTAAAGGAGGTATTTCTAACTGAAGTGCTTAGCTTAAATTGTTAATTTAGTACCTTTCTTCAGCATAATAATTTATTTCTTAACAGTAGATGTGTGAAGGACAAAAAGTATATGAAGTTAAACGGCACTATTTCTGTCAATGTGTCCTGAAGATATTTATATTATATATGGAGTGTAATAACCACTATCATTAACTTCAAAGTGCTCTGACGTGAAGGCCAATCTCTCACTAAAACATATGATGGTTCTCTGAAATTCAAAAATTATCTACTGAGTTATATAGCCATGATTTTTTAATAATGGTGCATTTTATTTGCTACATAAACATGCATACATATATGTTGGGGTATATGTAACCTATAAATTTTTACTGTTGCTTTGGTTGTATTATTCTCCGAGGCCATTCAAGTGTTCTTAGCTTCCTCACTTGGGTATCCTGAAAGGCTTCATAAAAATTATACTTTATACTCCTCCTCCAGTCCTGTGCATCGCTAAACATTAATCTCATGATGGAAAGAGAGACAGAAAGGCTTTCAAAATTTAAAAGAATATAGCTCAAGTTGAGATTCACCCAATACAATCTATTTTTTTTTTGTTTTAGCAAATGTATTTTATGCTCTTCTATCAATTAATTTTTTTCTCTTATAGCATATTGTTTTCTGTATATTGTAATTTGTAGAGTAACATTAAGGTAGTTTTTGGACCTAAATTTCAAGGATACTTTCCTGAGCTATTATGCTGTATTGTTAAGGAATACTCACAGCGATACTTTACATAAAACTTCTAAGTGTCTGTGACTGCAGTGTGCATATCTGGCTTTAAATCACAGCTCAAGACTCAATCTCAGTAACAACAATCCCTAAGACTTCACACTTGCATGTCATGTGGCATCATAGGTGATAAGAGGATGCCAGCTGGACAAATCTGGGTTCCCTGGAAGGATTACTGATGTTTTGCAGTCAGGTATTACATAAAGTCAGTGGTTTTCTTCGTACATATAACTCAGAAGGTAATTTACAAAGTCTTTCATGGAACATTCTAAAAAAAGCTACACCAGTATTAAATATCTTAGCTCTTATCTTGTACCATTATATGCCAAGAAAATGAACTACGTGTTAGAATAAATACTTCAAAATGGTCAAGAATTTTGGCAGATCCTTTAAAACTTTAAGATCATTGTAAGGGTTTCATGAGATCCCATAAAGTTGGTTGTGCCAGTCATCTGTCCTTGTATCAATGAGGAGACATGCGAATAAGAACACTTACCCACTCCCCTCTCCTATTTATTAAGCATTAATAAAAAGCTGGCAACATGACAGCTTTGTTTTTTCAGAAGCATTGGTGGTAGGTCTTATCATTATCTTTATTTTTCTCCTAAGGAAAACACAATACAAAGAAGTTATGAAGTATTTCAGGATGGCACAGCGGGTAAATGCTGGAGATGGGTTCTAAATGTGAATTTAGTTAATTGTCATTATTCAAGTCAGTTATGGTCCATAAGGTGGCCCAACACCAGATTAAGAAAATACTGTATAGGCTTAAATTTAGTAAGTTTTGACCACAGTACAAGAAAGCAACTTTTTTTTGATTAAATTAAATTAAATTAAATTAAATTAAATTTTCCTTTTTATTGGTACCGGGGATCAAACTCATGACTGCCTACTTGCAAGGCAGGTGCTTATGCCGCTGAGCTAAATCCCCAGCCCCAAGAAAGCAACTTTCAATTCCAGACAATGAACTTCTTCAAAATTAAGATATTACTTGCCCATTTTATACTTGCCAAGTTTTCCTTGAATCCTTTTTGTACTTTCTCCCCTCCTGGCAATGGTTACTAATTACTTAATGAGTTGAAAAGTCTTCATTGGTCTATCTTGAAGTGAGAACAGTTAGGATAAAACAGTAGATATTAAATAATTTTTAACTTAAATGATTATTATCTATTTTGATATAATTTCTATCTTTAAGTGTTAGAACATTCTTTTTTACTTTGAATTATGGTTGCTGCTATAATGATATTTTTCTGAAAGATATTACTTACTTAAAAAAGCTTTAAAGTTTGGTAATTTTACATTAATCCCAGGTTTATACTTAAAATTCTATTGATGTATGTATTCAAAATCTGGCAACCAAACTTTAGACGAAAGCTGTCTTTGAGATTTGAGATTTTCCTGAAAGAGAATGCATTTGGCAACAGAACTGGAAATGTTTTCAAGGATATGACAGGTGATTTTTCACATCAAATAGGTGATAAGTCACCACCTGTCAGGGTTCCTTTCCGCACTTATCTTTTACCCAACATTTACCCTTGGTACACTGGTAATACATCATGGCTTCACTGCTTCTACCCTGAAGGCACTCACCACTTGGGTTAAACTCTAAGGAAAGAAAGCGATCAGATTTGTTTTGTCTTATAGTTCTCATCTCAAGGTGTGATTTACAAATGATGTTATTTGAGCTTGGATGTGACTGAGGCACAAACAGACAAGAAATTTTTAGCACCTTTTCCAAGAAATCATCTGAATAGGAATAAAACAATTTGGGGAGGTATGTCACAAGGTTTAGTTTAGAATTGCAGTTTATGATGAGTTGGGGATACATTTTTCTCTCTTGTCTTCACCAAGAGATCACTTGGTAAATCTAACCATCTGCAAAAAGACAAACAGGGGTCTTCAGCCCCAAATGGTCCATTATGGTGATGTCAGATCTTTTCTCCACCTAACTGTTGAGTGTGATGTATAGTGGAGCAGATAAAATGCAGTTTTGCAATTGCTGGTTATGGATGAAGACTCTGTGATATGAACAAAGCACAGTGAATTTATAGCCTGGTAAAGAATGTTATTTGCAAATATAAAATGTAACTTCTCACCATGACAGGCATAAAGGGGATATTTAATCTCAATTTTCATGTAAGTATTAAAAACATTAAAAGATTATCTTGTTGCTATATCACTGTGCCAGGAAATCTGTCAAATAATATCTTTGAACGATTGAATGAATTCTATTTATATCACTTGCATTTACCACTGCAAACCTTATGCAAAGTGGTACTGTATGAAATCAGACCTTATTTCCTGTTGATATGAACCTATAATTTGCCAAATGCTTGAAAGTCTGTAAAGAAACAAATAAAACATGTTATCCACACTATATATAGTTTTGAAGTGATTTTATTGTCACTGTTAAGACATATATAGCTTAGTTTTCATCTTGGCTTTCATCCATAAATAACACTTAAAGGAGAGCAAATACCAAAAAAAAAGCAAATTTTGAAAGTGGATTTATAATAGTACTTCATGGTCTCAGACACAGGTATGATTTTATTTTTCAATTTCTCTTTTTAACCCACTTTTAGGGTCAGTCTAGAATCACCACAAACCAAATAACAATAAATAGAATAAACTTTTGAAATCTAAGACAGAATATTATATGAAAAGAATTATGGAATTAGAGAGGAGGCCTAAACTCAAATTTTGTATTTCTTTTATAAAATAAGGCAGTTAGATTACAGTATTTTTAATATTTTTAAGTTTCTAAGGTGTAAAAGACATTTATGAGAATTAGCACTAATTGTGTAGTCAAAAACAGGGCTGTGGCCTCCAAGGCCTGTGTGTTAAAAGCTTGGTGTGGAGCTTGTGACACTGTTGAAATATGGTGGAACTTTTAAAGGATGTGGCTTAGTGAGACGGGGTGCAGGCACTGGAGTCAGCCTAGGAAGGAAGTGTGGGAAACCTGGTCCTTCCTGTCCCTCTCTGCCTTCTGGCTGCCGCAAAGCGAGTGGCTTGTCTTTACCATGTTTTCCCAGCTGTGACATGCTGCTTTGCCATGTGCCCAAAGCGACAGGGCTAACTCATGGACTTCAACCTCTGAAAGTGTCAGGCATGAAAACCTTTTCTCTTTTTAAGTTGAATACTTCAGATATTTTGTCACAATGACAGAAAGCTGACTAATGGAAGTACTAAAAGATTCATTCAAAATTATGAACTTCAACAGCTTTTAAACAATTTTTTGGATTAAATCTGTTCCATCTGACTAAAAATTGACATCTCTATGAACTGTTCCCCTTTCCTCCTCTGACTTGCAGAACAATTTGTTTATATTTTATATAGGAATAGGGTTTTTTAATACATATTTTCAGTACTGTGATATGTGCATATTAGTTATCTTCTCTCCCAGATCATGAATACTTCATGATACCTTGTTCAGTTTTCTAGACTCCCAACAGTACTTGCTATCAGGTCTTACACAGAATGCCCAATAAACACTTAGCACGTATTTGATCAAACATCTCAGAAGGTATTAGCCAAGGATTTACTAATAATTACAATTATTCATGTATTCAGCCAACGAATACTTTACTCTGTACCACATAAATACAGATGCTGGAATTAAGGGGCTGATAAAATAGTAGGTGGATATTTAACCAACAAATCACCATATCATTGATATATCAACAACATGGGGCATGATGGTGTGTGGATGACTGAGAAGATCTCCTAGACTAGAGGATTTATTTCTGAACTAGGTAACGAAGGGTTACAGTGTGAAGGAAGCACTATGTTTTTGCACATGAACCAGTGATTCTGTGCATGTGTATGTGATTCTAGATTCTAGACTGAATTGTTCTGGGTCTTCATAGAGGTGAGAAATAGCTTGGCATACTGGGGGCAGTTTTGGTGGAGGAAAGGACATAATGACCAGGCCAGTCAGGAGGGGAGCTGGTGGGTGGTCCCATGTTCTATTGTAAATGATGGAAGACAGTAACACTTTTTAAATAGGGAAAGTACCAGTCATTCTAACAGCTTGGTGGAAAATGGTTTGGGGGTGAGAGAGTTCTGAGGCAGGGAGCTGGACCTCCAAAACCACGCAGAATCCCAGCAAATGATAACAAGGGCTGGGACTGGGCTGGTGTCAGAGGTGATGGAAGGGAGCAGATGGCTGTCCAGCTGCTACTGCTCAGATCTGCACTTGTATTAACTTGCAAGGATCCCTTCTAAAACAATTTAAAACTTAATACAAGTTATGGCTGAGGTGATTAATAGAGAAGTCCAAATGTTATGCTCATAAGAGTGAAAAAGTAATTGCAAAAAGAAAGGAATGATAAAACAGTATTCTTGTTAAATTCAGTCTTGGAGTGTGGGGAGATCTTCCTCTTATTCTGCATGTGGCCAAGCTATCATAATACCAGTTTTCTGAGTGAATTTAAAAAGTCTCTATTATGTCTAGTTGACCTTGCTGGCCACTATTACCAATCTTAGGATATTGTTGTTGCTGTGTGCACTTTTGGACGTGGTTCATTGCAGGTTTATTTCACATCACAGCTATATAAACATTTATAAAAATGGATGGGGAGAAAAGTGAGAGGGTAGGGGAAGAGGAAGTAAAAGGGATCAGGATGTGACATGTATATGTATCAGTTCCCCATGACGGTGAGTTTATTATGTATTGCAAACATGTACTAATTTTAAAAAGGGCAAAGCTGTCATTGAGGGAGATGAGACAAGCTTACATAGTAGGTGAGGTTTAACAAATAGTCTGAAAGAGATAGAATGAATTTCAGAGGCTTGAAAAGAAAATGTAAGCCTGAGAAGTGGAGCAGAAAGCTATGTGAGTATAATCTGATGGTGGCTTTGGCATAAATGTCCGGGAAGAGTCAGGAAGAACTAGAGAAGGAAGTCATGCACTCATTCATGTGAACCCAAACTCACTCACCTGCCTTCCGCCGGACACACCTGGAATAAATGCTATTTGAATGAAATTTAAGAAGGATTATCTGAAAGATTTTGAGTTTTAAGGACAAAATACAAAACCATCTTGGAAATGAATAGATAATCATAAATCCCACACTTCTTGAGCTTTATAAAAAACTACTTTGAAATATATATTTTAAAAACTCTGTTCATTACTGTTAACCAAGTAGTGAATTTTTTAAAGCTAGTGGTGGAATTAATTGTATATCCAAAAAATTAATTATAGTTTTTATTTTTATCAATAATTACTTGGAATTATTAATAAAAAAGCATCTTGTTTTATACTGCATCGAATATAATTTTTATGTTTTTAATTGAGGAATTTTTAAACACATACAAAAATAGATACAACATACTATACCCTAATGTACCCATTATCTCGTGTCAACACTCATTATTCATGACTGTCTTCACTTTTACATTTAAAAGATTATTATTATTGCTATTATTATTATTAAATTGTGCTGGAGATTGAGCTCCAAGCCCTAAGCACTCTAGGCAAACATTATACCACTGGCTACATACCCACCCATATTTTTTTCATTTTAATTTTTAAAAATCATTATTTCTCAATGGGTATGATGGCAAATGCCTGTGATCTCAGCTACTGGGGAAGATAAAGCAAGAAGACTCCAGGTTTGAGGCCAGCCTAAGCAGTTGAACTTGTCTCTATTTCAACAAAAAAATCAGGAGATATAGCTCAGTGGTAGAGTGGCCCCGGGTTACATCTATGTAAGCCTAGCACTGAGGGGCAATGAGGCAGGAGGATGCTGTGTTTGAGTTGCACCTGGGAAACATTAATATCCTGGCTAAAAAACAGCAATGGCTGGGAACGTAGCGCAGTGATAAAGTGCCTCTGGGTTCAGTTCCCATTACTGTATCTCCAAGTACGTACATTCCCACACACATGCATGCAAACACAATGACTTCCTGTATTAACCTATGGGTTCTGACTTTACTTTTGTCCCTTGAAATTTTATTTGTATAGAAACCAGGGTCATTATTCTATAAAGTTTCTGCCAATCTGAATTTGCAGCCCAGTGGTCCAGCCACGTGGACTCTCTAAATTGATAGTTGGCTTTAAGGATCAGATCAGATCAGATCAGATCAGATCAAGTTTCAA